AGCTTAACAGTGTTAGGAAAGGATCACTATGGACAATTTATTGATGCACTGACTCGTGAGCTACCACATCACATCTAAGGGAACCAATCTCCCAAGCTCCAGTCCACACAGAACCCTCATGCTGCCCAAAAGGAATGGAAGCTACTTAAATTATATGTAGCATTGCTGATGAAATAAAATTGATTCACCAAATGATTTCAAGATCAATGGGCTCTGCCTCATAGTCCTTAAAAGCACAAGCAGTTTCCAGAATATGTGTTCTATTCCCACTGCTTTTTACATTGCTCAGTAATTAAAACATACAGTCAGAATAATTTCCCATTTAAAAGCACTATTCCAGTAGACTAATATAAAATTTAAGCTTTCAATATTTACAATTTCATTTAAAATAGAATCTCAGTGACTACTCATTACCATTACCACAAACACAAGTGTATTGGAATGCAAAAGCAGAGATTTCTGTGTTAGCTCACTATCTGCAGCAGCAGCTGACAACACTTGATCCATTTGGTCTACTCTGAAAAATAGAGCTAAAATGCTTAACTTAGTTCTAGGCAGCACTGAACCCACAGAACAGATATAAAACCTATAAGGAAAAGCACAGGAAGATAAGAGCTGCTAAATGGAAGACTGAGGGAATCTGCAGTTTCATGACACAGCTGAATACCTGGCATTCCTTTCCCTTGCTCCAAAATGGGAAGCCTATCCTAAAGGTTCCACAAACCTCCTCATTCAAAGCAAGAAGGAAATTCTACAAAGCCCAGCATCAATATCTGCCAAATATATGCTTTTTCCTTCATAAACGATTTTTTCAGTTGCATAAGCATGTGGTGCCCTCACCAGTGACACAGACTCTTTCATTGCCTCTGCTATTCAGAGCCTTTATAAGCAGGACCAAAATTTGAATTATCTAGTTGTGTTTGCCCCTGTGTGGGAGGCAGAGAGATGTGTAAGAATTGACTCAGCCTCACGGTGCTGCATTTTGAACGATTTGGACCGGGATGGGCAGACATCAGGCCCACAGACAGCAGGGGAAGCTGTAAAGGTGATATTGTGTGCTCACCTACACAACAGGAGCAACGAGGCTGAACAAATACAAATTAATTGCTACCCTGGAGGCAACACAAGAGTTTGTGGAATGGATGATGAAACAGGAAACCAGTACCATCCCAGCTATCAAAGTATGTGGAGTCAGGCTTCCATGTAATTAGCAACTTCCAAGAAGCAAAGTAACACACACAAATGCATTCACCAAGGAGGAGATTGTTATTCAGGTTTTCACCCAGAAAAGAGCACAGTTAAATGCACCAATTATAAATTCCTATGAATAAATGGAGTTCCTGATGTAACAACCACCAGTGAACAGACCTTGCAATACGATTTCCAGACCTTATTTGCAAGGTCTATGAGAGAAAAGGAAAACAAGTGTTTTGCAATTTTGAATGCTCTGAACAAAAGAGATGGTGAATCAAAGCAGTGAAACACATGGAGAGAAAGTTTCAAAACAATAAAGGAAAACTAGTAATGACAACATTTCAAAAAGATTTAGCACAACTATTTACAAAACACGTGTAAGAATGTTCAAAGAACTGAAACAAGAATGTTATGTTACACAAACAACATTTAGCAAACAACAAATACTATTTAACCAGCACACTGCAGGTACAGAAATACACAAATACAAGATCCATACTAGCAGGAGGAGCACAGTAATCCTACACACACATTTGAGGACTACTTGGCCAATATTCTAAGAGGCTCAATTAATTGTTTTTCATTAGTGCTGAGATTGCCTGCATTTACTTTAAAGTGTTGGCTAGAAAAGAAATCATGCAAGGGATGCAGAGAAACCAAACAGGTGGAGCACCAGACACACTCTGTCCCTCCATACCTAAAGATATATCCACTGTTCTTGCCAAGCCTTGAATTTTTAAACTCCCCTTCAATGTTTCTCATTTTTACTACCAACAACCTGTTTTCCTTTTCAGTGCTCACAGAAAAAAAAAAGGTTCTAGAACTCCATCTACTGATTACCAATTGAATGCTGATCATGTTGAGATGAAGTAATGTATCTTTCTCCCAAAAGAAAGACCAAGAAAAAAAATCTTGACTGTGAAGATTTTTCTGGCTTAAAAACTGCTTTTTCATTGGCCTTTAATAAAATCATTTCAAGTGAGACCAAGAGTTCATTTGTGAGTGAAATTCATCATAATGACCTTCAATAGCCAAAATTTGAAATGCACTTTCAATTGCTCGTCTAGTTTCTTCTTTTTTAAAGGATAAAAATAACAGACTGAATAAATCATTAACTTTCTCTGAGACTGCAGCTATTCAGAGTTTAAACTTGCCTTGCTAAAGTAGTAAATAACTTGGATCAAATGCTATAAATCACTTACAAACATCACTGTACAGCTGCAGCTGATACAGTTAATCCAGAAAGTGTCATATTAATATATGTCGCCATGAAGACAAGGAAGTAAGAGGCAAAGCCAGGAAAAGACACAGCAAAACAAGAAATCTATCATGTTTAGAAGATTTTCAGAACTCCATGAAATATTCCAGCAAGGTTCATAGTATGCAGCATAAAAATGCTAAAAAGCAATTTGTGTCTCTCCTGCAAGTCCCAGAGCAGAGGACACACACTCATAACCCATTCCAAACTCAAGCCAACGTGCTTGTTCAGATTCAAGAAAAACATGATCAAGATAGAATCAAAACCTGAGAGAATTTCCTCAGCCTCTTACCCAGGAGCTTTGCAATGATGTACACTGCCTGTCCCCACAGGAACAGCTTTCCATCCCGGCCATTGTTACTAGGAAACCGTTTCTGGCTGCCAGGGCTCCTCTTCTCCAGCTCAACAAAGGCAGCTGGCACGTAGTAATACTTGGGCACCACAGGACACCCTAGGGAGTTTTAAAACAAGTACAGTAAGTAATCATTTCCCTCATTATTTCACTGGAGTCTCCTAATAAAGCTCAAGTGGATCCAAAACAGGAAAAAAATTACACCCTAGTTACTATTTGATTGAACAGAGATTTATGTCATTCATTGTTATCAGTCAAATCTGCAATCAGTGGAGGAAACTCAGAGCAGTATTAAACCACTTCATATTTCACCAAATATTCCCACAGAATTTCTTCCCAGAACACCCATGTTGTCTGTGCAGCACCTTCTTGTGCAAAATAAAACCAAAAACATTCACCTACAGCACAATGGAGATCAGGTATCAAACCATAACCAGGAGCAGTGACCGGTGAGTCACAGGGAAACACTTGGGGTGTTTTGCCCCACAGTTTATCAGATAACTTTTTAAAACTAAAATCTTGGTCCAAAGTAGTCAAACATTTAATTATTTAAAGTATGCAAAAGCAAATTAAAACCAGCACTTGAATTCTGCAACATCATGAAACACAATAGCCCAAGTTCTTCACTGGAAGACAACATATCTTGTATCTAGAACTGTGTCACTGGAGATCAATAACCTTTTTCTCAACACTGTTTAAGTGGACATGTATCAGGAATTTAGAAACACAATGACAAATGCCTGACCTAATTCTATGAAAGAGAAAAGCAAATGAATAGGCTTCCTGCAAAATTAAATTTCACCTTGATATTGCTTTAATTATGAATTTATTAGGGTGAGGAACAGGTGATCAACAGAATAAAGCTGCAGTGTCTGAATATTTGCTTAGACAAAAAATCTCTACTTCTTGCTGACAAGAAATAGAGAAAAAAATGGAAAAGCAAGAATTATTAAAGAGAGAATATTCAAATGAGTGAGGTATCCAAACACAGCCAGAAATTTTAAGATGTGACATTTGCGATGACATTCAACAAAAGGAACCATGAGATGAATTTAGCCTCCATGAATCTTCAGATACTCATTAATAACCAAAAAAAAAAGCAATGACTAGCAAGGGCAGGAAATTAGCTACACAATGAAAATTTGGTAAGGAAATGTTTGCATTTCTCCCAGAAACTAGTTCACTTCACCAAGCTTAAAGAACAAGTCAAACTAAAATATTCTGCATCTACTTGTGTAACTAGCACAGGTGAGTAAAGATGCTGAGTTTTAAAACTGGACTCTCACTACATTGAAGCCTGTTCTGTTCTCAGGCCATTTTGTTTCCTCCCACTCAAACTTAGGGTCTTTTTCTTTTTTTTTTTTCCACCTGAGTTTTGGCTGGATGTGCCTGTAGGCCATTGATAGCCCTGTCTGCAGTGCTACAAAAATTCCAGAGTGCACAACTTAAGTAAGAGAACATTTCTATTAGAAGGACTGTGCTGCCACTTTCCCTGCTCTAAGCTAGAAACAATTTCATAAGCATATAGCAAATTATTTTTTAAAATCTCTTGAAATTAAGTGACAATGAATGATGAGAGCAATTCTCAGCTGTAACCAGGTGGAACACTGAAGCAATCTCACTGCTGGCAGTTAGGAGTTGCCTGGAAAGTCAAAGTGAACTTTGCATACAATGAAGCAAAGGAAGCAAAGGAAGGGGAGGAGGAGTGACTGAGCACAGCATCAATCAGCAGCATTTTTCCAGACAGCATTACTTTTCTTACCACACTTTATGATGCAATCTATCTACATAAGACATTATTTTAGCGTTAGTATTTTGCCACCAGGAAACATATTATTACTTCTCCTTTGCTCTGACCACGATACCCATTAATAGCAAAGTCAGTATTTATTAGTTTCAGCTCACTAAGAAGCTACAAGTGTTTCAGAAGGATGATTTCCAGATAATACCTTCAGGTGTGTGTTGAAGCAAAGGGTCCAGAAGATCCTGATATTCCTTTACTTGTGCATCATTTCCTTTAAAAACTCCTAAAGATAATCAAACAATAATTGATTTAAAGGAAGAAACAGATTTTCCATGAGCCTAATGTTTGTAAAATAAATAAATCCAGTGTTTGCTTTTCAAAACTGAGTAATTTTACAAACCAATTAATGCCTACACAGTAAGTAGTCCATGAAAAATAAAAGACTGACTGGAGATCTTCACTTACTGCTATAACTAAACCTCACAGGGATCATGAATCAGCCACTCTGTTATCAGCTGATACTGAAATCAATGTCAAATCAGCTCAGCAAACTGATCTAGGTGTGAGTTGCCTAGAAATCCCAATATATAAATACAGAAAGACACTGAAGTAGCAAAATGAACCCTTCCAAAGGTATTTTTGATGGAATGTTTACATTCTTTTGTATACATGAAGAGTAAAATGTTTGTTTCACCCTTCTGCTAACTTCAGTTAAACATGACTATGTTTCTTCTTCCCAACACTGCACGTGGGCAGCATCAAATGTCAGTGCCTTTCTCCTCAGTTTTGGGCCTCGCTCTTTGAAAAACATCAAGCATTGCTGTAGAAATATCAATTGTGAAACATTATTGTATCTTCAAACACAGTATTTCAATCTGTGGGTGGCCACAGAGGAGTGGAGGCAGACAGCACATTTCTATGCCTCTGTCTTTATTTGAAAACTATTCAATGTTCTAAAGGGGGAGGAGAGACAGAATGAAAGAAGATGGTCAGACTTTAATCCATTTGCAAATCTTTTTGACAGCTGTAACCCTACTCATTTGCTTATCAGACTTCTGCTCTATGCCAGGTTTAGCTTCCAGCCTGAAATCAGCCCATGAGCAGCTATGGTGTTTGTCTCACCCTCCAGACAAGGTCTAGGTAGTGCTGTCTTTGTTGGTGGTGTTATGTTTTGTGTTGGTTTTTTAATCCAATCAGACTGACTACCTGAAAACTCATGGCCAGGAGAGAACTGGTCCTTTTCTGGTTTACTTTCTTCTCTTCTGAATTCTGTTTCAATTATCACACAGTATTCAGTTTGAAAAGATCTGCTGCAACATTCAGTGTGTCAATGTGTTCCCTCTTCCTTTTCTCTCATGTGCTGCTGAGAAGTTCTGATATACTGTGAAAGCTTTTTTGGGCTTAAAAGGCAATGCAGGACAATGCCATAGATTTAAGCAGTTAAAAAACCCTCACTGAGTTATATTCTAAAAGCAGTTCCCATTAAGAATGCTGAAACATAGGGGGGTTGAAGTGCTTGGGGGTTTTCAAGCCAGGATGCAGAAACCTCAATGAACTATTGTCACTGCAGTATGGCTTATTCTGGCAGGACAGGAGAAGAGTTTTATAACTTTCCTCTTAGAACTCATCTCTCTAATGCCTTGAAAACCCAGGAATATAAAGCAATACTTACCATCAATTATCATGAAAATAAAAAACAGAGGGAATTCACACTCAATGCCATCAAAAAGCTGAAAAGAAGAAAATTCATCAGACCTTTCATCATTTTCATTTAAGGAAATATATCTGAATAGTCCTGTTGAGTAATTTTCTAAGCAAGAAAAGGCAAACATGAATGCAAAAATATTTTAATGCATCAGCTTTTCATTAGGTTACCACTTTTTAATTCTATGGGCACTTCAACTGTGCCTTTACATCTGCTGTGGCTCATTCTCCAGCAGGATATTTAAATAATCTGTTTTATTTTTCACAGAGAAACTATGGGGGAAAAATAAATTTTCATTTAGATAACCTTTACTGATAAATACTGTGATCAAAAGCAAAATTGTTTTCTATACACTCAGACTGTAGTCAGCTGTGAAATTAAATGAAATGATAAATAATTTCCTTATTTGTTATGTGAAATCAACTGTACCCTAAATGTAAATGAGAGCACATTCATTACAAAACAAACCAATGACTCACTTGCTGACTTAGCAATCTCTGAAAACTGCACATGCAAATTGCAAACTGCATCTCCTTGGCTGGAAGCAATTAGGGATCACTGTGCAATTCAAATTCCAGCTCCTGGAGGGGTGTCTGGTTTGGCTGTTTTTTTCTGGGGTTTGGGGAGGATTTTGGGTTGGTTGGTTGGAGGGATTTTTGAAAACAAACCAATGACTCACTTGCTGACTTAGCAATCTCTGAAAACTGCACATGCAAATTGCAAACTGCATCTCCTTGGCTGGAAGCAATTAGGGATCACTGTGCAATTCAAATTCCAGCTCCTGGAGGGGTGTCTGGTTTGGCTGTTTTTTTCTGGGGTTTGGGGAGGATTTTGGGTTGGTTGGTTGGAGGGATTTTTGATTTAAGCACCTGGGGTTTGGGGAGGATTTTGGGTTGGCTGGTTGGAGGGATTTTTGATTTGTTTTAAGCACTGTGTAAACACCTGAGAAACCAAAATCTGTCCATAAGGAGAGGTCATGGGTCAAGGATTCCTTTCCCATCCCTGGGTCAGGTATTCTCTTACCTTGATTTCAGCTGGTTTGTAGTAGCGCCGTGTCCTGTCCTCCAAGGCTGTTCTGTACCCATCTCTCAGGAACCTTTTAAACCCATATTTTCCTTTCAGTTTTCTAATAACTTTATCTAATGTTTGAGTGAACAAAACCTCATCATCCAAAGCAAACGCAGGATAACTAAGACAGGGCAAAAGAGCTGCATCAGTATTCTGCAGGAGGAGAGGGAGAAATAGGACATCACAAATTTAATTAGATCTCTGACAATTACTTGATGCACAAACAAAGCTTGTTTGACTTACTAAGTGAAATAGACATTTGGAACATTAGCTTATCTTTATTAAAATCAGAGGATTAATACAGTAAAATAGTGTGCAAAATCAGACTTTTAAAGACGTATCAGGATAAACTACGAGCCAAATAACCAGAGAAATGATTTAAGAGAGACCTCATTTGACTCAGACTCTGACCTGGTTTATGGCTGATAATGTGCAGGTGTAAGTGAAAACTTTGTGCTTTGCTTTAGGTGGTTTTTTTTTTAAAGTATATGCTCCAGGTTATTCCTGGAGGAAACACAAACATTTGGGTATCATAAGCTCAAAAAGAATCACAAATATTTTATAAAGGTGCAACCCTGAGAAGTGGCTGTGATTAAATCAGCATTTCTGAACAGCTTTTTCAGGAATATTCTCCAGGTGCTGCAACAAACAAGCCCTATCTGATTTACAATGGAAAGGATAAGGGAGCAATTCCAGGAAAAAATACTAACAACCTCCTCAAGAACCATATGCATCTATTATAACTTCAGTACATGAGAGAAATTACTACCTAGTGCATCACCACTCCAGGTAACCCCACAGGAACTCAAAGCAGTATTCTTTGCTGCTGAGATGTTCAAGATACTCAGCTGTTTAAAATATCCTATTTTTACCAATATGACCCACATGAATGGATAATAGGAAAAAAAAAAAAGACACACAGATTCTTTCCATGGGATAAGTTGGTTATGAAATCAGCTTCTGTTGGAATATTTCAAGTCTCCAACAAATAACAAACACAAGAGTTCTGAAAGACCATTTGACTGCAACAAAAGTAGCTGACAGAGCTGTTTATTTTAATTATCCAGCATTACAACTCTGCTGTAATTCTCCTACACAATAAGTAAACTATTAATGTTGCAGATTAATAGTCTGTTTCATGAACAAAAATGCTATTATATCCCAGAACAAACAAAAAAGCAGAACTCTATTATCACTCATTTTAAATTACTGATTTTTGAAAAACCAAATTTACCTTTGATGGTGGCACTAATTTTTTTTAAAAAACTAATCTATGCTTATGTCACTTAGATTTACTTACTGAGGAAATACATTTGTAATGGTAGCTTATAACAACAACAAATCATCCATATTCAGCAATTTATGGTAAGCCAACCTTAGAGGCTTTTTTTCTAGACAAAAGAATTAAAGCTAAGACAAAGCATTTCAAAAGACACAGGCACAGAACGTAGAGCCGAAACTAGGCCAAAAGACAACCACCAAGACTGCAAATCTCACTTAAGTTCTTTCAAATTTTACTTTAAAATTGTTTAAAAGGCTACCAAGAGGCTCCAGTTTTAACCTATTAATAAAGAATACCCTTGTAATTCCACTTCACAAACCCAATGCATCCCAGTGACACTTAAGAACCAGAATCTGAACACCTTCCCAGCACATCTTTATCTTTATTAAGCAGAACATAAGGGCCATCATACAACTAAGGGCTCAAATCCATTTGTTTTCTCCACGCTCTGTCCAGGGGAATTTAATTTCATTACTCACATGAGACCTTGACTCTCGGGGCAGCAACGAGCACAGAGTCTGTCTGTTACGGTTATGGGCATCAAAATCCACAAATATAACAGACCAAGAGCAGCCCTGCAAACAGAACAGAGAATCACAGAATTTAAGGGTTGGAATGGACCATCCAGCCCCAACCCCTGCCCTGGGCAGGGACACCTCCTCACTAGCTCAGGTTGCTCAAGCCTCATCCAGCCTGGATTGAACCCCACCAGGGTTGGAGCAGCCACCACATCCCTGGGCAACCTGTGCCAG